TTATATTTATATTTATATTTATATATTTATCTATACTAAATATTGCGTACTAAAAATTATTCGCTTCTATTATTAAATGAAATTGTTAAAGTAATAAAAAAAGCGAGAAGAAAGGAAATTTCAACAAAAATCTAAATTTTAAGTAAGTTAGAACTTATTACCAAGCACAAAATTAATAACAATTGTATCAAATGCAGAAAAAGCCTATTAAATATCACTGCCGAAATAGAAATCCTTTCTTCTCCTTTTCCAACTGTGATACTTGCAAAAATATTTTTTGATAAATTATAACACACAACAAAAGTTTACGTTTTGATTTTAGGACTAAAACTAGAGAGTAGCGCAGTTACGTGTTACAATTAAAAATCGTGACATACATGTCAGAGATTGATAGAAATTTATTAACATTATGGCAGATTAAGGCAGAAACTCTTAGAATAGATGTTATTAATTTTTAATGTTTTTTTTTTGTTTTTTGGAAAACTAGTTGTAAATATAACAAAAAAAGTTAATCTATATTTTGTTTTTAACTTATTAGATGAAAACTCTTTTCTTTTTAACTGCACTGTAATTGAACTCACAATATGTTTTATTTTATACTTGTATCTAAGTTAAAAGATTAATTATTGAGTGTAAATTAAATTTTAATTAAAAGAGAGAGATTATTTTTATAAAATTTTACACAACATTGTTATTTTTTTTTCTGTTTCTCTCTCTCTTTTTCTCTCATCTCTACGATCAGTTTATGCATTCCACTTTATCCATCAAAATAAACATAGTCACTATTTGTAATGTGTCGGAATTTCAAAATAAATGTAATCAATATAATTAGGAGTTCTGATATCATTGTGTTCAACTTAATTACGTGATGTCGTGATTTAACGAAGGATAAAAACAATACACGTGTTCAATGCGGTTTACAATGTGCGTTAGCTGCCGTCTTTAATCATCGTATATTTAGAATCACATATAATATATGACAAGTTTCTATCTCTTTGACAAAAAAGAAACAAAACAAAAGGAAAATTGTATCATAAGCGAACAAATGTATATTTAGCGCAATTTAAAGAGAGTAAACCATCATACGACGCTCTCGTTACATGTATATATATTCTCGGTTGACCACACATCGGAATCCGCGGCATTGAAATAAAATTATGTATCCCAAACAAGTGCCAATTTGTAAATACAATATTGACTCACTGATAAAGAAAACTGAGTGATGAATATGAAAGTTCGATATTATATATTATATTTGTTATTTGTACACACACATAGAGAGAAAGAGAGAAAGAGAGTAACTTTCACACATTAGTTATGAATCTAATTGTACTCATATATTATATTGCTTTCCATTTATATTTTTTAATGTTTTTATGTAATAATTTGTTTTCGACATTTTTTTATGCTATATGTATAGATTTTATTTTATGATTATATATATATATATATATATATATATATATATATATATATATATATATATATATATATATATGTGTGTGTGTGTGTGTGTGTATATACATATACATATACATATACATATACATATACATATAAATACATATATAAGGTGCAAGCGCGCGCGAAATGATGGTAATACATAAATCTGAGAAGGAGATAATTCTTTGTAAAATAAATCGACAAAATAAAGATCGGTAAATATGGTTCTGTTACACTTTTATAAAAAAATGTATTTTCTATGTGATCAAAATAATATTTATTTTGAGTAATATTATATAACTACGTAATATATCAAATACAATTTTTCAATTTTTAAAATTAATGTTTTTGAAATCACAAATACAAACAAATTTTATTCCGCGTTACTTATTTTTCACAAAAAATTGTCTCTTTCGCGTCCCTTTTGTACCTATAAAGGTCTTACGTATAAATGCCTTTATTTTATTAGATTTTGGTTTACTCAATATTTTCTGTTAGATGTTTTACGTTTCGAGTTTTATGGAGTTTGATTGCTGTATATTAGTTAAAATACTATTGTTTAAGTTAATGTACAATTGAATCTCAAACATAATAACTTCAGTAAAAAATGAGCAATTTAAAATCTAAGATAGTTTGTCTTTATATCGTCATTTCGGTCGCACTGCATATTTTTTAGTTTATGATGTATAAGCTTATATAGAATGTGAGTATTACTGCGAATATTCCGAAGTACAAACGTACTAATACAGAATAGACATATATGTTATTTTTTATTTTACATGTTTATATTTTAGTGCCATTAGTTTATATAACGAGTAATAGCATGTAGTAATGAAGAATGCATGATGGCAAGAGCGCATATTTCTCTATCAATACAATATGCTTGCGATTATGTGAGAAGGGAAGTCGAGACACACATATACATATATATATAATCACATATGAAGCGAAAAAGCAAGTCTTCCCAGAAAATATTTACAATTAGTGCAGTAGATCAGTAAAAAGAGAAAAGATTAACAGCATTTCTTCCTCTACCACAAGGAAACAAATAATAACATTAATTAAAATAATAATTATAATAACGCAATGAAAAACAAAAACTCAAATTGAGTCAATTTAACACAGTCTCAACAAACAGAATATAGCAGATTTATAACACATTCATATATTTCGAATTTAACTGTCAACAAGGCTACAGAACATACGTTACTTCAATATGTTATATACTGTGTTCTGTATTTGTTTAGACAATTCCTGGCTGGCTGTACATTTGTCTAAAAGAGACAGACACCCTCAATCCACATATTTTGCCACGTAGAAATTCTTAAATTGTCTTATGACAGACAAAATATTTTTGTTTTGTAACAAGTTTAGTACAACATTTTTCCGATGAGTAGTCAATGCGAGAAATACGACACATACACACAATGAAGATCGTTAGGCGAATCCGATTAAATCGGATATTATATAATCTGTCAACGATAAATTGTGTCGATTATCGTTGTCAGGATTACAACGTACAGGTTTGCGAGTCGTCGTCCAAACCGAACGGCAATGAACCAATAAGTAGTATCTTTGTTTTTGTTGATGGAACTCTGCAGTAGAATAATATACTCATATCTAAGAAACAACGTTAAGTAACATTCTTCACAATTTAATACTATTTGATTAACACGTACTATCTTTTTCTGTGTGTTTTATTGACGTTTTATTGACGTACTCAGCTACAAAAAGAAAATAACGCTTGAATAGCAAATATCATGTTAGGCATTAACTGTGTTCTTGTTAAAATAAGAAGCAAATTGAATCTAGTTATAAGTAAACTTCGTCCGTACGATGCAGAGATGCAAAACAATGTAAGAAAAATATACAATATTTTCAATCGAGCTATATTTACAATTTTATTTGATATTGTATAATTTTTATGACATCCTATTTCTTTTCATTTAGATTAGCTTGTTTTATACTAATACAAATTACACAAAAGTATCGTCACGATGTTCATTGTTTTGCACTGTGTGATACTCTTATAGCTGCAATTTTAATCCGACATCGCATTTTGCTTATGCAAATATCTAAATCGACTCACTTTTGTACTCGCTAATACAAAAGAGACTCGGTTTTCTGTAATATTTTAATCAATTTTCCATCCTTTGTGAATGAAAAGAAATACATGTATTTATGATACTTAACATATGGTACACACACACAATATTTTTTTATTTGATTTTTCTTATTAATGACAGACACAAATTGTATCAATTGTTTCATAGCACCATATTGTCTCCCTGTTCGGTTATTATTGGTAGCACTTAACAATCTCCAGTATACATAACGCGAATGTATAGATTCTTAATTCTGCCAGTAATAACCGAGCAGAGGACTAGTATATGTATTATATGCAGAGTGTCTCACAACAAAATCGCAAAAAAAAAAAAAAAAAAAAAAAAAAAAAAAAAAAAAACTAAAATTATGATAACTCTTACAAATAAGTTTATTTGCCATCTCTTCGATATGTGTGCAATGAAATATGTTTCACGGGATTAAGGATCTTCGTAGTTTCGAAATATACAAATACTCAGCAATCAGTGCTTCTTTCTTCGTCAAGAAGATCGGAGAGCTTGAATTTAAGGACCTATGAAGGACTATATACAAAATGTACACGTGCTTTTGTAATTATACTATCTACATTTTTGCGTGTTCTCTCTCGTAATTAAATATCGATTTTTGTGATGACGATGATTCTTAATCCGAGTTACTATAACAAAAAAATCACTGTATAACATGTAGTCCGTGCACTTTCTCTGTATGTGAATTTGTTGTTGCAAGCAGTATTCTGTGTTTCATATTTGTGTTATCACATTATGATCAAGTATGATTCCTCTCCAATTATAATACGAATTTCTGTATTATACAAAACTACGTGAGACGCGTCTCAATGTTTATCATTATCGATTGTTTCTGCTGCGTTTTTGTAAAGCGCTTCGCGGCATATAAAATATGTAATACTCGACCAACAGAAAAAAGAATGTCTTAGGAGAAAAATCCATCGTAGTTAGAAATTCAAAATTATACCAACAAGAGTGTTTCGGAGAGAATAAATCTAGTCTTTTGTAAACAATAAATACAAAATACTGTATATTTTGAGAGTTATGTGCTAGAAGCGTCTCCGATGCGTAGATAGAGGACAATATTATAATATTGTGTCATATTTTACTCTAATTGAAAGTAATGGAATTACACACGCAATGTGAGAAGTTAGTGCATATTTTTAATAAATGGATTGCAAAATTCCATCTATCCATTACATATTCGCGTTTTTTTTTCATATACATACT